CAGTTTATTAAACCTTTGCAGGGATAAGGAACTAAAGTGGTCTGGGTGCCTATAGTGTCCCTTTAATAATAGATGTTTAAAGCGGCACTATCACGCCAAAGCCTTTTCCTATTGTTTCTCTTCTTTTCCTCTCTCAGAATCTGTTCTTCTTTTCTTCCTATCTTGTCTAGTTTTCTTTAAAACATAAGACAAAGTAGGGACTATTTTGTCTTGTGTATTTTTCTTACGCTTGACCTTCTTTGACCAAAGGAGGAGCTTAAGTCCGCTCTATTTCTCTAATTAAAGGGGGGACAATCCAACTCCCCCCCGGTCCCCACCAATGAGCGACCGGAGGGGTCCTAAGTGGCAAAGGGACACACACACACATACTGCCTCCGCCCGGTCCCCACCAATGAGCAGCTGGAGGGGCCTTAAGTGACAAAACCGGGAGGGGAAACCTACTGCCTCCCCCCACCCTTGAGAGGCCCTAGGTGGCAAAGGGGTGGAACCTACTGCACCCCCACTCATGAGCGGTAGGAGGGAGCCCCTCAGTGACAATAAAGGGAAGACATAGTATCCCCTCCAGCTCCCACCTATTAGCGACAGGTGGGGCTAAATTTAAAAAAAATACCCCTCCCCAAGCCTCTAGTCACCCCCCAGGGACTAGGGGTCTCCAAGCCCCTAGTCACCCTCCCCCTCACACAATAAAATAAAACCCTGCCTTCCCCTCTCACGCTGAAAGTAGTGAGGGGGGAGCACTGAACTAAAAACATGTAAATAATATTTAAAAAAAATAAAATTTAAATCACGCTTCCCATTAGAAGTCTTTTTCATAAAACCTTCTTTTTTCAGCTAAAAAAAAGGACAAATAAAAATCCATCCCTAAGCCGCAGGCATGGGTTCGCATGTATACAACTTACAGATTTTGATAGTAGAAAATATGAGCATTGTTCTGTTACTTGTTTATATATGTCTTGTACCATTTAACGTTTTACTTACCGTATGCTTACGGAATATTTGAAAAAACTACCTTCAATAAAAATGATTGACACACAAAAAAAAAATCCATAAATCCTGTTAACTAATAAAATAAGAAAGTCCCCCAATATATAAAAATGACGGGGAAAAAATTCCAACCCGAAATAAAATAATCCATCTCCACGCAGACTGAGCTTATTACGCCTTCCAACGCCCTGCAATATGGCTTAAACCAACCAGATCCGAGCGCTCTGGCCAAATTGCAGGGTGAGGGAGCAGATCAGATAGATTATACCTTACTAATTACGGATGACCTTAATAAATACAATGCAGCCAGGCACCCACTCACAGTAAGAGATGTAGGTAAGTGGATGGCCACCAGAGTAAACTGCAAAACTGAAGATCGCATACAGCGTGAAGAGTTAATAAACCGTGCTAACTTCACACAATCGGAACTCTTATGCAAACTATATTGCTGTCTTTATTGACTAGTACATCATATCCTTTTTAAAAAAATTTCTGTTATGTAATGATTGTGGAGATTAGATATACTCAGAATATTAATACAAGTTTTAACCCCTTAAGGACACAGCTTCAAAAGCTTGTCTTGCACTTAATGAAACAAACAATTTTAGCATTTTTGCGGCTTGCATTTTACAAATATATTGCACCAACACATATACCGTTTTGTAAAGGACAAAAAGGGCTTTAATTGATGTAACATTCATATATAAATGCTAATTTATTATTTAAAAAATGGGAAAATATATATATTTTTTACAGTTTTTGCAATAATTATCTGTGCAAATTAACTTAGTTGTTCTGATTTACAAAATATATAATGTGTCTAGGATTTTAATTTTTTTTGGTAGTTACAGGTCACAAAACACAAGGAGTAAAATAAACGTTTAATGTGGAGCGATTTTAGAATTTGGTATGTTTGTCTTGTAAGCTTAAAAGCCATAAAAGAAAACAGAATTGCCACACAAAAGTATATATTTATATAAAGTAGACATCACAGGCTATTTACCTAAAGTTATTTTGACACTTTTTACGTAGCCATTTCACCGCCAGTCTCTGCTAAATATTGAGTAAAATTGTGGGGGGTTTTTTGGTTTTTGACACACAAACTTATAACAAAGATCTTCTCATCTGTATTTCGTAAAGTGGATGTGTGCTATTCCTGTACAAAACGTTATTTTGTATTCAGCTACATCTGCTGAGTACGATACCCCCATCGTATGTCTTTGGCACTATTTCGTGAAGCTACAGTGCCATATAAAAGACCTGTCAATTTCAGTATTTACAGTAGAATTTTGAGAGACGGATTTGATGGGCCTATGTTTCAGTTTGGGGTATTACAGAAGTTTGGCTGTTCAAAAAACCCCACAAAGTAGACACCCCAGGGTATTTTAAAAGGCTTTTTTTTTTTTATTTCATTTTTTTATTCTTTATTTTGGGTGTGCACGAGATGAACAAATTGCCGGTGTGTGCCACAACAGCGACATCCGGTAGAATAAGTAAACATTGGTATTACATGTCATGGCATTCGATATACAGGCACATTTTTAGAATATTAATATGGTTTCACATATAAAAGGTATATTTTAAACCTTAGCGTAGGATAATTTTTTTGTTAGTTTGTACCAAGTATCGTAGCAATTAGCATTTTTTTCTACCTTTTTGACACACACTTGGAGATGTTACTGTATATTTTGCAATCCTTATGTGTGCTATGGCAGTATAACACCTAATATGTTGCTCCGCTATGCCGTCTTAGTACAACAATACCCCTAGTGTACCTTTTTCAGGGATATGTGGATGTTACAGGGGCACATTGGAGACCAGTTTTGAGCAAACTTTGAATTTTGACGCTGGGTCCTTGTGCAATTTTTAAGCATCTTAGCAAGATTTTTATTTCAAACTACTAGGGATCGACCGGAATTGATTTTTTTTTAGAGCAGATATCCATAATCTGTGAACTATCAGGCCGATAATTTACCGATATTCTGTACATTTACCATTTTGAGTGTGTGTAAAGTGAATGCAGTGTGTGTGTGTATATAATGAATGCGTAGTGTGTGTGTATATAGTGAATGCGTAGTGTGTGTGTATATAGTGAATGCGTAGTGTGTGTGTATATAGTGAATGCAGAGTGTGTGTATATAGTGAATGCAGAGTGTGTGTATATAGTGAATGCAGAGTGTGTGTATATAGTGAATGCAGTGTGTGTATATATTGAATGCAAGGTGTGTGTGTATATATTGAATGCAAGGTGTGTGTGTATATATTGAATGCAAGGTGTGTGTGTATATATTGAATGCAAGGTGTGTGTGTGTATATAGTGAATGCAAGGTGTGTGTGTGTATATAGTGAATGCAAGGTGTGTGTGTGTGTGTGTATATAGTGAATGCAAGGTGTGTGTGTGCAGTGGTGTATCCTGGTTTTGTGCTGCCCTAGGCAGGACAAAACTCAGGCGCCCCCCCTCCCCCACCCCACCCAACCCTTCCCCCCGCCCCACCTTCTAAATACACACACACACAGTCAGACACAAAAACACACACACACAGTCAGACACACACACACACAGTCAGACACATACACAGACACACACAGTCAGACACACCACACAGACACACACAGTCACATACACACACACACAGTCAGACACATACACAGACACACACAGTCAGACACACACACACATACACACACAGTCAGACACACACACACACACACACATACACACACAGTCAGGCCACAAACACACAGGCACACACAGTCACATACACACACAGTCAGGGCACTTTGCTGGTCAGGTACGGCACACACAGGGCGCACACGGTGCGTACATACACACACATACACACACAGTCAGACACACACACACACACATACACACACAGTCAGACACAAACACACACAGTCACATACACACACAGTCAGACACATACACAGACACAAACACAGTCACACACACACACACAAACACAAACACACACACACACATTAACTTTTTTTTTATTTAAATCCCCCCCCCAACCTCCTTACCTTTGGGAGTGCTGGGGGGGGGTCTCTCTCCCTGGTGGTCCAGTGGCTGCAGGGCGGGCGGCGCTGGCAGGCGGCGGCTGGCGAGGGAGCAGCTCAGCTCATGGGAAGTGAGCTCCCTCGCCGGCCGCCCGGGATGTCAGTTAGCCGCAAGGCTAACAAGGCATCTGCCCTGGGCATTTGGGGGGCGGCGTTTTTTGCCGCCCCCTGAAAAATGCCGCCCAAGGCAAATGCCTTGTTTGCCTCGCGGCTAATACGTCCCTGTGTGTGTGTATATAGTGCATGCAAGGTGTGTGTGTGTATATAGTGCATGCAGAGTGTGTGTATATAGTGCATGCAGTGTGTGTGTATATAGTGCATGCAGTGTGTGTGTATATAGTGCATGCAGTGTGTGTGTGTGTGTATAGTGCATGCAGTGTGTGTGTGTGTGTATATCATGAATGCAGTGTGTGTGTGTAGTGTGTGTGTATAGTGAATGCAGTGTGTGTGTGTGTGTATATAGTGCATGCAGTGTGTGTGTGTGTATTGTGAATGCAGTGTGTTTATGTAGTGTGTGTGTATATTATGAATGCATGGTGTGTATAGTGAATGCAGTGTGTTTGTGTAGTGTGTGTGTATATAGTGAATGCAGAGTGTGTGTGTGTGTGTGTGTGTGTGTGTGTGTGTGTATGTATATATATATATATATATATATATATATATATATAGTGAATGCAGTGTATTTTGTGTGGGCATTTTTTATTTTTATATATTTTTTAAATATTAAAAAAGAAAAATTCCCCCTCCCTGCTTGTTACTTGACCAGGGAGGGGGGATATAGCATTCCTTGGTGGTCCCGTTGCATGGACTTTGAAGTTGAGGCCCAGCAAGCTCTTACATACCTTCCCAGCAGCTC